GAGTATATATAATTATATAATATTATATATATATATATATATATATATATATATGTTTGTATACGTGTATACTTTGGTACACACACTTATATATATATATATAGATATGAATAGATATGGATATATGTGTATATTTATATAGATATATACTCACATACATATATATATATACAAATCGGTTTATATTCATATCTGTTGCTTTGATAATATTGCTACATAATTCATCATTCATGCTACAGACATAAACATATATATAAACATGTGTTTATACAACTTTGTATGCATAATCTTATACAATATTCATGCTGGTGGGAGGTGGATCAGGCTCTTGACCGAGTAGTAAATTTGCCTCCGATGTATTCGCTGAAAGCAGTTGTACCAAGGTACTTCACTCGTCCACAATAAGTGAGTAAAATTCCTCGGTCCATGGAAAAAAGTATTTACCATCGTCTATTTATAATTGGGAAGCTATCCAGTCTACTAATCTGCACGGAGACATTTTAAAATTACGATTGTTAAGCTATCCAATTTATTTAACTTGCACGAAAAACACTTTTCAGGATTATTGGCAATTTATCCCACCATCGAGATTCGAATTTGGAATGATCTTTGTCAACAATTTAGTTGTTAGACGAAATCCAATCCTCATTCGTTCGGTTCCAGGCGTGGATCTCAGAGGGAGAAAACCAAAGCGCGATCTGGAATCGGGACAATATCGACAGATTAGTGTGAAATATATTTGTCTTGAGGTTGGGTTTCTCTTCAAATCCGAATATGTATACGCTACCCGTGTGGGGATTCCTTGCGTTAAGCTTCGAGTGACTGCAGTGAAGGCGAAAGTCAGTACTTCTGTAACATTTTCTTCCCGTTTTTCGAATAAATACTTCTTGTACACGCTATGAACATTAGTACAAGTCGGTTGGGCGACTTCGAACGTCATGAACACTTTGAATGACCCACATCCAGCCATCTATAGCTGATCTTGAAGATAGAAGCTTTTCTCAGCAAGTGAATGTATACATATATATACATCTATACGTATATACATGCATGCATACATAGATATACACACACACACATATATACATGTATGCGCACGTGTGGGTTATTTGGTCTTTTAGTTGTGATTCACCCTGGTAATGGTATCTACGGTGCAAAGCGTCACAGCTATGTATATATACACACTGATATGCGAATACAAATACGCGAGGTCAAAGATATGAATAAGTATAGCCAGTGTAGGTATACAAGTACGCACACATGTAAATAAATACCGCACATGTGGCTGAGTACATAAACACGTATGCGAAATTTGGCCTGGATACGAATGCGCATACACTTGGACAATCTAATCACACGTCCGCACTCCTTGTAGCTGCATAGATATGTCAATTCCAGAGATATCGCAAGTACGTAACTCGTCAGCTATACCCAGCATCCAACCCAACAAAAGCCTACTTCAAGTGCCCATCTGGGGATACAATTGTGCTACACACTCATACACACACATATATATATATAGATATAGATACGCTTGATTAACACAGCTATTCGGCTAGAATCGCTGCACGCCCGTACCTCTTCCTCAGCAGTAGAGTAGGCATCACTTCCGTGGATCACATTACGGCCGACTGATGTCGCTAGATCGCCGCGAATGGTTCCTGGGTTTGACTTGAGCGGGTCCGTGGCACCGATGATGGTGCGAGCCATTTTGATGACGCCTGGACCTTCCCACACCTGTTGTATATGTTGTATACGCGCGTAGTGTCAAAAGTCCACCTCTCTAGATGACGCATATTATCGAACGTTTATATCACATATTATCGAACGTTTCTATCACATCGAGATAAAGTGTGTTATGGGACATTTATATATTGACTACAGTACTTAGAGATATGTGTCAGGGGATCAATGTATATACTTTTACAGTGTCAGAGAATCAATGTATATATCCTTACAATGCACTACAACACCTCGATGACCACAAACTATGTGTATCAAAAGGAATACATATACATATGTGTAACAAATAATACGGACTGAACCGACAGAGTCCGAGGATCACAGTTGAATGGCCGTATGAACATACAGCGCTACTGCAGTGCTTAAAGGTCACATATCGATACGTTCGCAACACCACGGCAGGTGTCAGTAGACACCAAACATACCAATTTACAATGTCACTGTACTGACACAGATAAACACATATATCTGTGCCATGCCCCGACAGTGTCAAAATATTACTACACAAGGCATGTACTGACAGAAGTCAATCGTCAGGGACAAGCCGTACCCCTGGTACATACATCTGTATCTACACTTATGTATTATGACGTACACTGTGATCCATACGGTGTTTCTGTGTAAATTACATCTCGCAATTCAAATCTTTGCACTAATAACACACGTATAAGCTGTTGTTTCTGCCATATACATTAGACCGTCCAGATATGTGTGTATGAACTATTGTATTACCACAACATTGTGCAACGCAAATAAACTAAGACGTTGACTGATGGCGCGAATAGTATATCAACATCCGTGTACTTCCCGAGGCAGAAATTTGATACATGACATGTACACTTATAGATTCGTGCACAAACAAACCTGCTAGTAAAACATAATATGTAGGAACCTAAAAAACTAAGTAATGGTTTCGATAAAGCGAAAAGGCTCCGCACATTTATGGGATCACCGAAGCATTGAAATGAATACACAAACATTATTCTATCTAAAGCTGGCTGCATATATATATATATATATATTACATATATGCATACATATTCTTTTGCGTGGTCTTCACGCCGGTCATTCATGCAGCGGACAATGTGTTTATGAACCACTAGTCGAGATTGACTATTGTTGTTCCAATGTTGTTTGTCTGACAGTGTATGTATGAAGAACATGCTTGCGCAGTAGCGTTTAACCATACGGTGCGGCTAAAACAAGCCGCGTATGAAAGAATTTCTAAATATTTATAGATACAGGCACGACTACTCGCATTGTGTACACAAACATTTGCACATCTGTGTACAGACGACACACATAACCGATGCTCGCTCATACCATAGCAACAGCAGGTCCACTTGACATGAACTTCACCAGGTTTCCGAAAAAGGGGCGCTCCTTCAGGTCGTGATAGTGCTTTCCCGCAAACTCTTCCGTAGGCCAAACCATCTTGAGAGCAACTAGTTTGTATCCCTTCTTCTCCATCCGGCCCATGATCTCGGAGATCTGAAGACGGGTAGAGTACGCGTTTAATGAGACTTGAGCATTGTGTGCAATACGTTTGAAGCACCAGATACGACGACCAGTTTGCAAACAATAATATGTATTAGTAACCCATAGGAATGACACGCACAGGCAACAAACATACTCTACAATATAAGCGCATACCCCCATCGTGATTGCAGAAATGTATTTATAACGTTCAACGGGTTCAAAAACGTACTGTTGATAGACACAAATGGCATATCACACCTGAGAAAATTCATACGAGAGAACCTTAGAACAATACTCGAAATACCGCACAGACTCATAGCTTAATCGCACGGACTCTTAAACCCTAAACCCAAGCTGGATGCAGGGCCTTGTGTGGAACCCAGCACGCATTCGACATACACATGAAATGATATATGCATTCAACCACAGGTGGGACTACGCACACAATCTCGTGACCTCCCTGGCCACTCAAAGCACACCTTTCCTCATCTGAGCACTATGCCTATACACTCAAAGCACACCTTTCCTCATCTGATTGCTATGCCTATACACTCAAAGCACACCTTTCCTTATCTGAGCACTATGCCTATACACTGAATGCTATGTGGCCATAAGACGACAACTCACCCACCGGAGGTGTGGGCATACGTGCAGCTCTTAATATGTACTACTGTAGCCACATACAACAAACTACATCTTATTTAAACTCCCGCGAAAAAAAAACTTGATTTTTGCGTGGAGAGTGCACAGCACATACCAGGCCACGCTGCACGGCATCGTACTTGATGGCCATGAAGGTGCGTTCAGTGACACCCCCCTCCTCGCCCGCAAGAGACGCCTCGGCGTGTGCTGGCTTGATCAGAGACACTGCAAGACAGGCACGCATGCGGTGGAGATGAAGCATGGGTTACCGGAATGGGACAGAGGGTATGTATGTTCAAGACGTGTGTTGAGATAGTAATGTTTGAAAGGAACGTTCATGAGGGTGATGTGTTTTTGAGATAGTAATGTTTGCGCATAAACATCCACACATCAAGTACCGGAGCCTGTCATGCAACAGACAACAACGATACGGAAACACGTGAGTTTGCAATGCCGTTCATAAGGCCCAGCAGGAAACAGCCAAGACAGGACTACACGTAAACGCTTTGCCACGTACTAAAACCAATTGGGGTGACAGCATACCTGAAGCCGCACCGAACGCGACAGCGGTGGTCAGCGCAATCAGAGACCCGCGGGCGAATGTGTTCTGTTGACTCGCACGGACAGTGGACATGCACTGATTAACATTGCGCAGAGGTGTTGCGCGTGCAGAGATAGTCGCTGTGGCGCAAGAGAAGGACGGATATGTGGGAGATAAGGACACAACAAACACGGTTGCAAAAAAAAAGGATAATATATATATATATATACCTATAACACATGCCAATATACTTGTATACAATCGATCATTTGAGTCTAAGTAGCATACCAGCTTCGGAATATCACAATTGTCCTGTTCGCGCCCAAAAACCGATTGTAATAACCCCCCATGCCAACCACTTAACAAGCTAAAGAACAATGTACAACACAATCGACGACCAACTGTGAAATAGGACAGAACCTGGGGTAAAAAGACTTTAGCATCAGTAAGTCTATAGGATTCCCATACAGGCAGGCCGTCCTTGCAGTCAAATTATACATCAAGCGCACTGAGGTGACGCACACGCCTGTAGCTGATACTGAACAACAGAGAGGTGTCGTCCCGAGTATCTTTGTGTATGTTTGCAGCCGCCGTTAAACCATCTGAGCGGTTGAGAGCTTTCACATTCGTACACACACTCAAAAGCAAAGCAATGATGTTATACACGCCTCATTATAATACAGATCGGATGCAGGGTGCGGCGAGACAAGTGATGGAGTACGGAATTCGGGCCAATCCCAAGTCCCAAAAGTGTAGTGAGCAGGTCTGTGCCTCTGTGGCACGAATAAAACTAAGTAATAAAGGGAAACATGCAAGCAACGAACCTAGGCGAAGAGCGGATCGAGCGAACATGATGAGCGACGCGACTGGTTTCAAAGGACACGTGAATGTAAACAGTGGCCAATGGAGGAGTGTGTATTGTCTTGTAGTTTTAGTTCCTATTAAATTTGTAAGTGTTTGTATTTGTAAATAAACGTTTAACATCCTGTGTGTTTTGAATTTCCTCCTGTTTTTGTCCGTATGGTTTGTTCTGTCCCAGTCCACTTGTCCAGTGACCAGTCCTCACTTCGACGTCAGTCCGACTCCGTCGTAAACAAGACTCAGGTCTGCAACATTGCTGATTGCTCGTTTTGGTGAAGAAGTCTAAATTTGGAATGCATAACTGCATCTTGCACTACCGATTCATAGATCAGTATTCAGGCGGCCTGAAAAAGGTCACATACATACATACATACAGACATACATACATACATACATACATACATACATACATACATACATACTTTGCCTCTTATGTTCTGTTTTTAGGAGGCTATGATACATATTATAAGAATGCCGACAAGATTCGAAGGCTTTTATTATGAGCCCATTTCAGGACGATGGTGAGACAAGCTCAAATCCGATTTCGAGCCAATACTCATAAAATCTTTCAAGTTCAGGACCCGTTAGAACTCGGTTCATGGTTATGTGCACCATATTATAAAGTTGTTACCAATAGAATAAATACTTTTATCCGTGTGATACTTTCCCTTTATCTTGGCATGCCGAGGGCGTGCGATGGAGAAGCCACGGACGGCCTTCTAACAAACCTACAGACCGTCAGATGCTCACATTCTACCTCTATACCTCTATAGTTGGTAAACCTTCAAGGTAGGCCTTTGACAAGAAAAGCATCCATGGCTGCGACAACGTAGCCAGTGGGCCATACGTGCACTATGACCGTCTTTAAGACATACAAGACAATTGGTTGCCGCCTCTGGCTTCCTCCCTTGAAAGAAATGCACATGGGAATTACTGTTATCACGTATGTCATACCTATCAGCTTGTGGTTCCGATATCTCATTAGCGCTCATAAGGGTTTGGTGCGAGAGTATACCGGCAATACCAACTCCAAAGTGATCATTCGCGGCCGTGCTTTGAGCCTGCTTCATCAGGACATTCACATCCCCCCTACTTCTCAGCCCTGGGTTGAGAACTGCCCGAAGCCCTGTTTTAAATGTCCGCTTGAATAATGGGGGTTTCCGGTTCACATATTATCTCAGAGACATCACAGACAATAACGAAGGTGCAGAAATTGAACGCACAGATATTTCTGCTCGGGTCGAGATATGATCAAAAATGACAGAGCCTATCTATAGAAACGAATGTTGCACTCAGCGAACCGCCTCATTAGAAACTTGCACCTATTATCGACATATATACACGTATATATATGTACATACGGGTATATATACACACACAAACACACAAACATACCCCCCCACACACACACAAACACACACACACA